ATGAACTATTGTATAATTAGAATACTCATAAGATATCATGTGAGTTGGTATTTATAATAATTGCCTACATAAAAAATTTTCCTATAGTTTTACGAAATAATCAGCAGTATGAGCTATTTTGTACGTATATATACATAATTAAAAGATAACATATGTATAATCAGAAGCTAATACTCTTTTCTTTGTTCATTAAAGACGTACATGTGTTTATTACACGTAACAGATAAGTGATTTTATACACTCGTACGTGCGCGCATATTTGTATATTTATATAGAATTTTTATGATAAAAATGTTGTTTAATGGGATTCCACCACGTTGCCTTAATAAAGGTTTAATACTTTTGGGACATTTGTGGTTTCGTTTAATTTATTCAACATTCAAATTTCTTAAAGTTACATATTGATATTTTTTAAATGTAATTTTGTTTAATATTTACTGTTAATAACAGTGGATAGACTAATAACTTACTAGATCTTTTTTACATTTATAGAATTTTACTTAAAAGAAATATATAGAAAATAACGCTTTAGATGTTATATAAAATATTTATTTTCTATAAGATGCACGTATGTGGTTTAATGATTAAAAATCAAAGTTTATACAATTGTCATTTATTTGCACATAAAGATGATATATTTTTTGTAAAAATTTATAATTTAGCAACGTTTAAAATTTTTATAGTTTAGCTGAAAAATTCTCATTTTACAATTCACATTTGAAAGAAAAAAGCGTAACAAATTCCTAATTTACATAAGATTCTTTTAAGATTACGTTGTCCAAAATGCAAAGATTAAATAGACCTTACAATATTATGAACTTACCATCAGTATTCATTATTTATTACTTATTCTAATCTTTTTATTTAATAACATAAGAAACATTTTAAAAAAGTTAAGTCAATATTTATCGAATCGATTAGACATTTACAAAGTAATCTTCTAATCCAATTAAAAATAATAGTCATATTTCTATATTTATGATAATCCGTACAGTTTTAATGTTCTATCCATACTAGTAGACGCAATATATTGTGCATGCTTTCCGAAACGGACGCCAGTGGCAGCGGCTGTGTGATCATTTAGGACTTTCAATTCCTGCCATTGCTTACAGAGATATACCCTAAAACAATACAATTACATATATAATATAATCTTATATTATACAATGTTAACACATCTCATAGCAAATTTAAATTTAAAACAATAATAAATTAAAATATTATTAAAATATGTGATACTGTAATTGAGAAAGTAAGATTTTTAAAGATATTTTGTTTAATATAAGACTTTTATTAATAGGAATTTACTTAGTATATGATTAATTCTTTATATTAGTTATTAGTATCAACACTTTCGAATAATTAATAACTATCAAGGACTAATAAATTCGATAAGATATAAGATAATTTCGATTTCGTCCTTTCATTCTTTATTTGATTTATTCATATAGCGATCTAGTTTAATTTATTGCTCAACATTTTACCTGACATCCGTTCCTGCCACAGCCAAATAAGTTCCACTTTGATCAAAGCAAATATCCTTTACTTCATAAGATTCCTCCAACTGTAATGTTTTGAAGTTCTTCAATTTACGCAAATCCCAAAGCTTGACGCACGAATCTTCCGCAGCTGTTGCCAAATAATATCCATTCTCGGAAAAACTAATCGCCGTGATTGGACCAGTGTGTCCCGGAAAGTTTGCTACATTAGATTGTTCTTTTAAATCCCAGATTTTCACTTGAGAATCCGCAGTGCCAGTGCCGAAAATCAAACCATCAGGATGGAATTGTGCAGTTGTCAATGGTTGTCCTGCTTGTCCTGCAATCTTTAAACAATCAAACATAATATGTGTAGGACTTTTTTTTATCATACCATAACCTTTCTAATTAAATATAATGGTGTGTTAATTAAAAACATACTTTAGTTAATAATCTGCCGGTACGTATATCTGAAAAGGCCCAATGTTGATCTAGAGAGGAACTCAGTAGATAATCGCCAGTTGGATGTAGAGACAATCCAGTCACAGGTGCATCGTGAGCTTTCAATAATAATGTTGTTTGACTGGTAGCAACGTTCCACACACGAATTGTAGTATCGGGTGACGCGGTCATCACTACATCCTCCTCTGGATGATAAATAACTCGTGTAACCTAAGAAGATAATTCAAAAAATTAGTATGTTTAAGGAAGTAATAAAACGACAATTTAAATTGATTGCGCACTTTTTTTGTATGTCCTTTGAGGATTGCCACTACTTGCTCAGTATCCTTGTTAAAAACAGTAGCATTCTTATCAGCACCACCTGTTAAAATCTTGCTAGTATCTGCATTGTGAATATCAAGTGCCAAAATTCCAGGCACACTGGCAGAGTGAAGTCCCTAAAATTAACATAATTATTTTTAACATTAATAATGATAATTAATTCATGTTTTTTTATTTCTTAAAAATTTTTAGAATTAGATAATAATTGTTATTGTATATTATACCATTAGATTTCTTTAATGCAGTTCTGACTTTATTTAAACCTATATATTTATAACATTATATATTTATAAAAATCCTTAATAGTGATATATCCTGAATAGTAAATTTTAAAAATTTTATAAAACTTAACAAAAGCTTACAGGATGTGATGCGAGAGTTTGGAATGACCGGATACTGTCCTGAGGCATAAGGTCTTCCGGTACTGATCGTCCACGCCTTTTTCGCTCTTGAGTAAGAACAGTTGCTCGCTCTTGAAGTTTCTGTATTACATCTTCAGTAATACCAGCTTGTTCCATTGGTTGCGTTGCTGTGCCACCAGCTTCTACTGCCACAGCCTAAAGAAAAAATATAACTTATTAAGAATTATAAACATATTTACAATTTATAATATACATAAAATAGAAAAATATATATATATTTGCTTTTATGCGTATATATTATATATATATAAAACCTATATAATTTTATATATATAAAACCTATATAATTTTATAAATTAAGATATTATTAAATATTTATAATTTAAAGAAATTCAAGAATAATCAAATAATGATAACATACTGGCTGTGGGATTGTAGCCTGAACAATTCCAGCTTGTGGTTTGAGAGTAGCAAGAGCCTCTCTAGCAGCAGTAACTTCCTTAGTCAATCTAGCAATCACACGGCAAGCCGCATCATGTTGATATAAAGCATGAGATAATTCCTGTCTTGCAGTCTGGAGCTGCTGTCGTAATGTAAATGAATGCAACATAACAGCATCCCATTCATCTTGCATAATTTTTAATATTGCTGGAATAGAAGTTGCACTAGGTGGTTTGGGCTTGACAATTGGAGTTGCTATAACAAGAAAAATTATAAATTAAATAAAAATAATTATGTAAAAAAATATAAGTTTAAAAATACCTTTAATATCAATAAGTTGTTCAATGGCAAGTTCTTTGCCATTAATAGGATCTACTCCATTTTCAGTTACATATTTTTCTATGAGACGTCTCTCAAATATTGAGCCAGAGACAGGAGATATTACTGGATGCTCTGGTACTTCATTAGAAACTGAAAATTATAAAAATTTATAACAATCTTTATTACATCTCGAAATTTTATTATATTAAGATTTAAATTATATATGAATTTACATATAATATAATATAATTTTTTTTATAAGTATTACTAATTGAATTAATAAGTTATATACATAAACATTATAAATAAGCACTTACAATTACATAAGCTACAAGATATAAATGTAATTATGCTTTCGTAAAATTTTCTTTTTATTAACAAATCATCCATCTTATTATTATATGTATATTATAGAACTAAATCATTAGTTCTATAATAACACATTAGAATATTCTAAGGCTGCATTCCATTGTACGTATAATGTGCATTTTATCCTTCTTTAACACTCCGCGAACAAGGATAAAACGATACTTCATGTTTTATGCGCGTTATATGTACAACGAAACTAGGTTATGTTTGCTGACTGTGCCGGTATGAAATTTCTTATTTCTTCAACAACGCAATTTTGTGTTAAGTATCGTTATATAAACTTGCATGTAAATGTAGGCATCACATAAGGATAGTATCAAAATAAAAAAATAACTCATTCATGATTTATGTTCCCACAAATACTTACTCGCACAAGATAGCGCCATTTTCTCGATTAAAATATGGGTGCATTTCCACTGAGCGCGTCACGCGTCGCGTCATGAAAAAGAGAGAGAGAGAGAGAAATTATGATTACTTATAAGATGAGATGTTTTCATTGGTTAATTTATAAGGATGCGACTCGTGATGCGCTCAGTGAAAACGGATTGAATTAGACCGATTTATTTAGTATTTACATTTAATATATGTAT